ACACTGATGAGAGTTGTTCATTTCCGCGATGACTGCATTGTGTATATATGTCTGTTTCTGTATGTCCGAGGTAATTTCTCTGTGTTGGTGCACCTTTGTGTCCATCCCTTCATGCTAGTTTTTGTTTGCATAGTCCTCAGCCAGGGGTGGTTGGGTGGGTGGGTGTGCGTGCGTGTGTGTGTATGTGTTTGAGTGAACATCAGACAGCTCTTCAGCTTCCTGTGGCTTTGAACTTTGACCAGCCACCAGCACTGGTAGCCTTTAACCAGCAGAGAACAGCTGGCAGCCATCTTTGAACTGACAATGTGTTCAGCAGTGAAAACCTGTAGGAACATGACTGCAGAACAAAGGCGAGGAGGTGTGTGTGGTTGTCAGTTAGACAGTAATAGACAACGTCTGCTGGGTTTCCGTCAGTTGTTTATGCTTTGTGCATGTGTAATGGACCGTACCTTTATGAGACTTAATTGGGCTGCTGCTTTTCTTTCACCTCTGAGTACTGACACCAAATCAAATCCAAACATTGTGTACAGTCTGCATGTTCCAAACCAAGACTGGTTTTTGTGATGTCCTCAAATTGCTTGTGTGTGGCTTTTTTAAAACTGACTGTCTAAAACCGCCAAAGATCTTCAGTTTACTGTTTCACATTAGAGAATCTGGGGCCAGGAAATATTTTGGCAACCAACATGATTAATCCATTATCAAAATAGTTCTTCAACAACAGAGACAATAATAACTAACCAAACAGCGAGCAATGCTTTGAATCTGGCGATGATGGTGGGGATATTGTTTTTGAAAATGTTTAACTTCCACTAGACATTTACAAAGTGAGACAATACAAGTAGCACTTCTTGAAACAGTGTTATTCTAATGTATTGTTATTGAAACAGGAACTATCTTTTTATTATAATTTACTGTCATGCATTGCTCAGTAACATCTGAAATTATTGCTGGATCGTAATTGGAAAGAAAGAGATAGCCACTTAGTAGAATACAGTATGTAATGTAAGTTTTAGTGGTGTGTATATGACATGTCGTACAGTGTGGTACTGCTGTTGACCCCCCAACCACAGAGAAAACACATCCCCAGTATCAACTAGCACCAGGCCAACACATTAAATATGTAGGCATGTGTAAAGAAAACCTGTCCTCCATTTCATCCTATTAAGACAAGAGCACCTCTGCGCTCTTTTTTTCCGACTGCTTCATTCTCCCTCTTCTCCTCCCCCTCCTGCTCCTCACTATCTTTTCACCTCTCTAAATCCAGGGCTTATTCTCTCTCACACATACACAAACACACACAAATAGGCATTCAGCACTCAGGAGTGTGGATTGGTTAGATTCAGTAGGCTTTTATTTGTCGTTGAGTTTGTCTCATATTTAAATCCTGCAAATATGCATGGATGTTTGGACATATGTTATTGCAATATCTGTTATATCAGGACATAATTAAGACAAACTTTGACTGGAAAGTAAATATCACTAGCAAACTAGGATGTGAACCTGATAATTTAGAGCTGAATGGTTTAATATTTACTTTTAATGGGGAAACTTTAGGGTTATGTATCAGTTTGCCCCTCAGCTAAGCCCCTGAAAAAAGGATGAATGAAATGGTGAGGGGGTGTCAGGGCTTGGGGGAAGGGTACAAGGAGGCGGAGGGACATTCTTTCTAGGCCCCCCATAATCACTATTTGTGTTTGGCTGCATTGCCCCACTTCTAGTGTGTGTGTGTGTGTGTGTGTGTGTGTGTGTTTGGTGGGTAAAGGGGTTCACTTGCAGCCTAGCTGCTATAGTTTGATTTCATTCACTCCACTGAGGACAAAGCAGGGAGTTTTAGAGTTTCAGCACAAGTGAAAAGGAGCCCGACGCCTGAATGTCTGATATGCCTTCACCATTCACCTCTATAGGCATGGATGGTTTGTTTCAACTTGATGAAATTTGTTGTTTTTCCACTAATTTTTTTTCTATGAAATCCCTCAAGTTGATATTTTGGATACATTCTGACTATAGTAACCAGTTAGTGGTGGGTGCACTTGTGATTTGCAGTGACACAAGATGTCCATCAAACTCAACATGTCATGTGACTTCAAAGTATTTACATATTCTTTTGAAATGTTTGCAGTTTTGGCCTTGTTTTATAGGTAGTCGCTACTAATATAAACCTGTGTCAAATACACAGCTCAGTAGTTTCTGATCGATCCAGTTTCCTGAGGGTTAATCAGGAGACAGGCTTGATAATAATCAGAGAGATTCTTTTAATAAAAAAAAAATGGAGGGAGCAGCAAAGAATTAACTGGTTTGAACTGTAAAAACACCCAAACAAAATCCTTTGCTTAATGAAAACAGCACAGTCACAGCTAGTACATGTACTAGGAAATGGCAAACTAAAGGAGAGGAACTGCAATTGTAAAAGCTCCTATATATGGAAATGCTGTGAAACAAATTACTGCAGAAGTGGAGCAGTCAAACAGAAAGTAGGAAGGACAACATCTGAAAATGTCATGGGTTATTTTGTTACAATTGTGTCTTTAATACTGTCTAATATTTAGTTTGAAAGCTTGTCTTATTTTGAAAAGATCTCCAAATTACATCTTTGGTTTGGTAAAGCTTTTAGTTTCAGTTGTAATAATTAGTAAATGGTTATTACCAACAGATGCTGCCTGCCTCCAGGTTATGACTGTTGTGTTTAAGTCTTGAGGTCACACACACACACACACACACACACACACACACACACACACACACACACACACACACACACACACAGAATACAGTATAAGTCAGATAGCTCTGCACATGTTGGGCTGTGTTCCAGAGTTTGGGTCTTAGCCAGAGCTTACTGCCTGACACACTGAACTGACAGCTGGCCCGACAACACACTGAAACACACATCATGACATATGACAACACTCTTGCTCACACACAGTCTGAACATGTGATCATTTCTTAAACGGATCCTTTCATCCAAGGAAGGTTGTGCACACTTCCTCTTTTCGAGGATCAGTGTTTTTGCTTAAAGGCACTGTGAAGAACTTCCCAACTCCTGGTTTCTGCTGTAGTAGAAGCTAATTATAGCAGAGTTGCGGGTTTGGGTTAAATTACAGGCTGTTTGAAGCTCTGTGGTCTGTTAAAGTCTATTAAAGTGGACCTGCATTAGTGCCACGTTAACAATCTCTCTAAACTGTATCCTGTTTAACATTTTGTACCCTCTTTTAGACTCTAGGCTACTCTTTCTTTCCTTCCATCCTTCCTCCCTTTCTGCTTCAGTTTGTTCCCTTTTTGCCTGATTAATTTTTTTCTGCTATAAATCGGTCAGTCATTTCTTGCCTTTCCCTGTTGTCTTCCTTTCTTTCTCTTTTTCCCACCTTGCTCTTCAGCTGAATGGCTCCTGAGTCACCGCTTGGTCATCTAAATATAATCCCCTGGTATTTGGAGTCCAGTGCCTTTTAGTTTTTGTTGTCTATTTAACTGTTGTAAAGCAACTTTTTTTAAAAAGGCCCAGTGTGTCCCAAGCAACAGCTGCCTGCCCTCACACACATATGCTGCTCTGTGTCAAGTGTGGACTACAGTATGTGGTATGAGTCACTGTCTAGCCAGTGCTATGCTTACACACTGCATATAGCATTACTGAGGATCTAAGCTCTTAATCTGTCGGGTTTTTTTATCATATGGAGCTGCTGCGAGAACAACAGTGTCCTCAGTGCCACAGGTGACTGGTTTCTAAGATCAATGAAAGAAATGACTAATAAACATCCGCATTTGCATTTAAAATTTATATGTTGGAGAATGCTGGGTCAATGCAATCAGCTGCCTCTTTGGTTTTCAAAACTGCATTGTTGTGATCAAGCTGTTAAAACCAACCGATTTCTTCACCCTTGAACATTCACACAAGATTATTCTTGCATGCTATCTTCAATCTGCTCCCATGCTGGAGCCGTATAGTCAGTACAGCTGCTCCTGGGGGGGGGGGATTTGGGTGCCCGGCTCTTTTCTAAAATGCGAACAGTTTGCTTGGTTTGCACTTCGATGGTAATAAATGCCTCTCGCTGCCAGCCCTGCCGTACTGCTTGGAAACACTCCCCTCACACCAGTCTCAGCGCCAGCCTCAGTCTATATGCACAAACACAACGTGCAATTCCCAGTGATGCTCCTTTGTACACACTGATGTGACGTTAAAACATTCAAAATTCTCAGTTTTCATCACAGATGCAGACACAATCGTACACAATTAACAATGCTCTTCCTAGTGTTTGGCATGCACGGGTCACACATGGCAACCAAATGGGTGGGGGGGAGAATACTTTTCCTCTATCTCTATATTTCTCTGTCTCTACATGTCTCAGAGAGGGCTAAATGAGATTACTGTAATCCAGCTTGACCGGAGAGAGGGGGAAATCCAAATGCTGTTTACTCCATCCCGTTAGTGTCTCTGCCTCGCTTTCTCTCCTCTCCTCCCTTTCTTCCCTTCTCTCTATATGTTCTGTTTCCACTCTCCTCTTTATTTCCATCTTTATATTAACTTGATTTAATTCAATTTTACCTTTTCTAACGATCAGCCAACCTCATCAGCCAACAGAATAAACAGCATATTAACCGTTCAGCTCTGTGTCCAGAATAAAGGCCGACATTTTTTCGGGAATCCTGTGGGATGGGAGTCAGTTTCACTATTAATCACGTGACTGGGACGGGACTGCAAAAATGTCATCGAGAGTGTGCAGGACGATAATCAAAAGTCAGTTATTATAAATAACTATGCAGTTCTACTATGAATAAACGCAGTTTTCCAATTATTATTATTTTTACTGGGAGTGGGATGGGACAGCAGCATGTTTGTGTGACGGGACAGAATTAAAATCACTCCCATCACCCTTTAGTTTCTAATGTTGCAATCAACATGGTTGCCAGCTTTTACAGGGTAAAAATAAGTAGTATGGAAGTATTTGATTGTGTGAGACATTAGCATTTAATCAATATATCTCAATCTCTCGTGTCTTTTTCCTCAGATGACGTTCTGCAGAGTGAGGATGGTCCTCTGTGTGCAGCAGAAATTGGCTCTGAACTCCAGAAACAGTTTGCCATCCTGCCAGGTTAGTTTGATTTCTTTGTCTCCTGACCTTTAAACACACTGGGGATGTGTGGCAATGCATCCAGTTCAAATATAACTGTGTAATACTGTGGTAATTATAATGAGCTTGCAAAAGATGCTCAGTTTAAACGTCTGCAAACATTTGCATGTGATGTCTTTTTCATTTTTACGTAAGTGAAAGTGCAAGTAGACCCAACATTTTGAATAAGCTTAACAATTAAGTAAAACAATATAATACTGTTAAATTAGTGTTATACTTACAGAGAAGTAAAGGGGTGAAGTTCAGGATGAACTAGTAACCCCAGACAGATCTTGGTTTGTTTCCCAATAGGCAGCATGCATTAGATTAGATTGGGAGATTTGGGTTGTCGGTGCAAAAACACATTCAAGTAAACTAAAGGGGGATTTTATGTAACATAATGGAACAGGCCTGCACTCTTTGGAGTCTAAGTTCATTTTTGTGGTTTTGTTTTACTCTGAATTTGGCTTTTATCTAAACTGTCTTTACCTGTGTTGCTTTGTAGACATTGTTAACATAACATCAGCTGTATACTCAGTTTATCACTTTGTGTTTCTAAGAAGTTTCTTTTCATACCAGATTCTCTCTCTTTTTCGATCGGCTAGATCTATTAAGAGCTTGCAATCCACAGTTTCGAAGGCTTTCTTTTTTGTCAAACAGTGACAAAATTGCTGCTAAAATTTAAGTGACTGTGTGTCTCTGATGGCTGGAAAATGTACGTCTTGTAACACAGATTCAGAAATAGCTCCACTTCTACTTAATCTACACACTTTAAAGTGGCATAACTTGAAACAATTATCTTACAATGTTAAAATGGTAACTAAACACTTTAGTTATAATGTAAATAAGTTTAAAGTCTGTGTGTATTGGAGGCCCTGCCCTCTGTGCTGTAGCTTTGGAGGCATCGACCTAATTAACTTGTTGCCATATAGTTATCTAAATATATGTCCATATAAATATGTGTCACTTCTCCAAATCAACCCCTTAATTTTCTATTAGTATTTAGACATAAAAATAATGATATTCAGCTTTTGCTCCATTTATTTTTCTTTTATTAGAAAAGTTGCTGTCAAGTGCACACACTCTGTCCTTGAAAAAGTTCCAAAGTCGTCTGGTCTTGGACAGTAAAGTTTCTCATGAAAAGAACCATAAAGAACTTTTTTAGAGTTTGAAGTTTGACATTTTTTAATCTTTACACAAATGACCCCCTTACACAGAATGACACAAAGCGGCATAAAAAAAACAAATGTATGCACACAGAAACACACACTTGGGGGCCTGTGTTGGGTTACAATGACGATAATGCCTTCCCAGTGACGGCATGTGAATAATTCATCACCATGATGATCTGCTTTGCAACTTGACCCAGTAGCGAAAGAGAATGCCAAGTGTTTGTGTGTGAGGCCCTTTTGATTTTATAGGGTTTTTTTTGAGTTTATGACTGTCCTCTCAAGTTATTTGTATTAAGTTCTTGTGAAAAATGGGTAAAACAATTAAATTGAGGCCCGTCATTATGTCTTCCTTTAATTAAGGATTGGAACTTAAATGGATTTGTAAGATTTAAACAATCAGGTTTATGAAGATAGGAAAAAGTTTATAATATTCAAGTTAAGTGCCATCTATGTAGAAGAGTAAAAACCAAAAGGGTCTGACATAGATATGTTAAAATATACTCTTCTATTGTGGCAAATAAAATCTTTCTATGATAATCCCTCTTACACCTCTTACCAGCAACATGCCAAAACCTCAGGTTAATTGCTTGGATGTCACTGACCTGTTTCTGTTTCCCTGGCCTCTCTGTCTCCAGGGGGGCGTGGGATGAACGGCAGCCCCATCGTCATCTTCCCAGAATTCCCGGCTTTCAGCGAGCTGGAGGATGAGGAGGTCCAAAATGTCCTCCGGTACCTCACCAGCGTCCCCAGGTGAGCATCGCCTGTGCACATTCACACACCATCTTTTTTGCGGCTTCATTTGGTTTGACAGCAAACAAACTGCAGGGATTCTGGGCAATTTGTGGAGGTGCAGTACCACGTGAATCCAACAGAGGTCAGCACAATACCAAAGGCCTGCCACAAGGAAACCGACACAAAAGACATAAAGAAATAGATTTTTAGATACAATGAAAAATAAGTGATCGAAAATGTATGAAAGGAAACAAAAAAACAACAACAGAATTCTGAAGACTTAAAATCAGATGATCTTAATCTACTTATTAATAGAATTTGCATATAATGCTTTGAATAAAAAAATAAACCCTACACCTGATCGAAGGTTTTTAGGTGTGGCTTTATGTTAAATGTAAATTTTAATTCAAATTAAATCATAGTATACACCTCTTTTCTTCTTTCTATCCTTTCTCCTCCTCTCCTTTATTCTGCCCTCCCTCTCTATGTCCCTCCTCCCCTCCCTTTCTTTCACCTTTCCTTTATTGCTGAGTGCTGCACTCCCATCACACACACTCACTCTTGCATACAGACACATAATTAAGGGGAGGAGAAAGGATGGAGATGTATGAACCTGTATATCTCTATATACATATGTACTTGTGTGTGTCATGGCGGCCTCTGTTTTTTTTTTTTTTCACCTTTCATATCCCACCACCCCCTCTGAGTCCCCTCCCTTTCTCCCCCACCAGCTATTTGCACCCAGCTGCCAATCGGTTGCACTCCGAGCTCCGATTGGCTGTGGGAGAACAGCAAGATGCAGGGCTTGGTTTTGATTGGTCGGGGGTGGGAAGCAGGTGGTGGAGGAGCAGAGGGAGAAGGGGAAGGAGGAGGGAGATGCTCTTTAAGGATGTGAACGGTCACCTCTCTCTAACTGCAAACAGATGATTGTGGATGCAGCAACTGGAAACTGACAACAACGGCATAAGGGGGGGAAAAAAAGAAATGGATTATTGCTGGATGATAACAAAGGGATATTAAAGATTTTATTTTTTCTTTGTCCTGGAATAGCAAAGATTTTCCCAATTCAGCCAGCTTCATTCATTTGGTTTTAAGATTTTTACCCTGTAGAGATGGACTGAGGAATTGCTGTCGCCGCGTTCACTGGGTACTATAGTGTGTTTATTCTCTTAATGTCTGTGTGTATGTGTGTGATGATGAAAATTGGCTAATAAGGACGCCCAGATGGACCAACTCAGCAGTATTCATATGTTGGTCCCACAGTGTGTGTGTATATGTGCGTGTTCTACTTTAATATTCATCTGTTTTGCATGTGTGTTTAGGTGTCAGGATGCATGTCAGTTTTTGTCCAGCAGGACCTTTGCCGGAAATATTGCATTCTCTCTCTCACACACACACACACACTGACATACACACATTAGCTTAATGAGGTTGCTACATATGGCACCGACCGTGCAATGGCATGATTTTCACATGCACAACACACACACACATTAACACAGAGCCAAGGTTGCTATGGTAATCACAAGGGTCTCTCATAATCATCACTGATGGCAAATGATGACCACAGACACACAGTCGGTAACAAGATTTTAACCCTTACTAGGATTGCTTTTAAATCCCCAGATAATATTTATTCCTGTCACAAAGACGAACCAAAACAACTGAAGTCTGTCTTTTTACATCATTTTTATATATGATATTATTTGTCCGTTATAGTGACCCAGCCTGATGATAATAGCTAATGAAAGCTTTAGCTGAAAGCACTTTACTGTCCAGCCCTCCGTTGAACTATTTTATATATTTATTGATATGCAGAATCACATCAGCTTCCTCACTGTTTGAAAAACAAATGATCTCTGGGAAGTGCAGTGCAGGAATATCACACATAATGGGTGATTTGCGACTTATTTTATCAACAAGCCATTCTTACACTACATGTTCTATCACCTGTTAGATATAATTAGTAGGACAGGAGCCTTGCTGGGGACACCCTGTGTACCCTGGAGCTCACTAAGGGGCCCCCGATTAATGTGGGATGTGGGAGCCACACATCACATCAACGTACTCCATAAAGGTCCCTTGTTGGAACAATGTGGTGCCACGTACAGTATATTGACCTGAAACACACGTTTAGAAAAGTGGTTTCCCTGATGATAAGTGTGTGCTTCTCTTCTGCAGTGTTGCAGCATCAGGAGTGGGTTTCATCCTGGTCATCGACAGACGACTGGATCGATGGGCCGCCGTCAGGGCTACCCTGCTCCGCATCGCTGTAAGACCCTGTGTGTTTATGTGTATATGTGGGGAGGTGAAGCAGGAAATTAGCCTAGGTGTGCAGTGGATCAGATTGTTTGTGGGCATCATATACTGCTGAGAAATATAAATAGCTGTTTTGGTGTTTGTGCATTATGCTCATGTGTTATTTGGATCTGCGTGTGTAGTTGCTGGTGTCAGCTATGTGTGTGCATAATTTGGTTTGTCACCACTTACTGGACAGTAATGGATGTTTTGGTTGTTCATGTGTGTTTACTGGCTTGTACAAACTGTACTCTGTGTGTGTCTGTGTGTTTTAGATTTTATTCATTAGCTGTGTGTAAGAAGGACATGTGCTTTCAAATTGAATTTTTTCTGTATCGAGGAATCGAGGCAGGAGAGGAGTTAAAAATAGCGTGTTATTGGAGTGGGTGGCGGAGTCTCACAGCGTGTGAACATAGTATGTGCAATGAGATACCGTCCTGTTAGAAATAGAAAGCCTAAACTGTGTGAGCCATCAGTCTCATTCTGTTTAATAATAATTTTCTTTTACCATCAGCCTTGTGTGCCATTAACCTACTAGCCTACTTCTTGGACAGTGTAAAACTTTCACTCCTCTCTAAGATGATGCATTGAAGAGGCAGTACGTAGAAAGCGAAGGTATCCAGGGAAATGCTTAAAAAGGGAAAGAGGGCCATGAGAACTGTGAAAAGAAAATATAAAAGCGCAGAGCAGTGGAAGAGTTGTTGATCAGACAAGCTTGAGAAGTTGTTACTGATGGCTGTTCTCTGAAAAAAGTAGAAAAGGAAACGGCTATATCTGAAGTGTGTGGTTAGGGTCACTGGTTGACCACTTTGTGATATATATAGCTTAAAGCAGATTTTCTGGTGAACAAATCTGAACAGTACAAGAGAAACATCAAATGATCCTTTTTTGCTTGATATTTATGTTAGTAGGACAGAGTCTCATTTATCTCTCTAGAAGCATCACATTTCACTTCAGTTTTCTGTTTCTTAATTCATTTGTTGTGAAATAGATTTTTGGCTTCCTTGATTTTTGCAATGTCCTCCACACACTTTCATCTCTGAATCATGATTCACCAGCTCTGCCAACATGCGGACCAAGCTTCACCACACCCTACACATCTGTTGTTAAGATGCTCATCCTGTATTACACCGCTTAGTGTGCTCAGTGTATGCAGATATATGCTAATGTATGCTAATTGGACACTGATTGTCATCAAACCTGATGGTTTTACCATAGTATTTCTTAGAAACTATCCCCATTTTGAAAATGAGTAATTATGAGGCTCGTTGCTTTAGTAACTGAATTCCACAAAGTCAGGCAGCTAACCTGTACACACATAAACATCTGCACACTCCCCCAACCAGCCCTAATGGACCATTCCAGATCTATTATCTTATTCCAGTCCATTGACCAAGTCCATGTCTTTCAAAGGGACACTGATGGACTGTGGGTTGTACTGATAGCAGGGAATCAATCAGTAGTTTTAATTGGTGTTATTGTAGCGCTGTGTGAAAGGGGGGGAAAAAAAACAAGATACATGGAAACAGTAAAGTGTAAATGTTGTGTTCTGAGAAGAAATTTATATTAATTCAGAACACTTCACCAAACACTAAACACAAGGCGCTTTGATCATTAATCATTATCATTTTATGTTTTTATCAATGACTGACAAGACCTTCAAGCCACAGTTTGACATTTCAAAAAAATATGCTTATTTGCTTTCTTACCAACAGTTAGATAAATACAACTCTGATGTTCGTTCAATATGAAGCTGGAGCCAGTATCCGGTTAGCGTAGTTTAGTTTAGAAATGTAACAAAATCCCAATACCAGCACCTGTAAAGCTCACTAATTAACATGTTATATCTCGTTTGTTTAGTCAGTATAAAACTGAAATGTAAAACAGAGGCTTTATCTGTGACTTCCTGGAGTCTTGGCATAAACCCCTATTAAATCACGAATTGTTGTTTTTAAACTTCGGTTTGAGTACGGATCAAACTAACAGGATAAAATGTGTTAATAAATTAGTTTTGGAGGTTCTGGTAGGTGGTTCGTTTTGTTGTCGTTTGTTTTTCCCCTATGGCCAGTCTTTCTGCTAAGTTAAGCTAAGCTAAGCTAACCGGCTTCTTCTTTGTATTTAACATTTAACATGGACATGAGAGTGGTATTGAACTTCTCTTTAAGTTTTCCCTTAATGAAGCTGTAAAAGTTAAGCAAATTAAACAGTCTACCTTCACTGATTTATACCACATGTTCCTTTTAGTGTCTGGTAGTTCCAACACTTGATTGAAAATATATAATCCTTCCCTGAAATGTTTTTGATTTTGCCTTAGATTATTGCAATTTGTGCTCTGTCTCTCCTTGATGACAGTAAAACAAAGGAAAGATAAGAAAGTGGTAAAGCGAAAGATAACATGAGTCTCATACCCTATCATACCCAGTAGTGTTCCCCAGTAAGGATCTCCCATGCTGCTCTTGCCTCTCCTGCTGATTGCCTCTCTCCTCTTTTCTTTATCCATTACTACACTTCTTTGTTCTGCTTCACTTCCCACACAGCACTGTGAAAAATAACATTTAAAACAAATGGGAATACTGGTTATATTTCTGTTGTTGAAAATTCATATTACAATGAGACGATTTAGGGCTCCTGTTTCTTAAAATAAAGCTCTTCCAAGTGTTGGAAGTAATTCTACACCTTCCTATTTCATGCTGTAAAGCAGCTCAATAGATCTACCACTGACCTGCCAGCCAGTTAGAGGCTGATAATCTTGTTGCCGTTGCTTTTGTTAACAGTAATTATTTATCGATGGCAAGATGCTGCACCTGGCATGTTTTGGGAAGGTCCAAACAATTGCACAGAGTTTACATAAAATAAGAGAGAACAAGGTGGAGAATTGGATGAAAAATATCACAGTCAACATCTTGTGCATCCCACCAGCAGATTCAGGTGACGAAAGCTTCTGAAATCTAGACTTTTACGTCTATTACATGATCCTTAAATATAACGTCCATTGAGAAACATACACCAGGTGTTTCAGCTACAATCCTCTGCTGGTTTTATAAACGGAGATGAAGTCAGAGTGTGTGGATTGTGTCCCGAGATGTCCATGGTGGAAGCAGGCAGCAATATAACTTAACCTGAAGGCATGACGAGCAGGTGGTGAGAGGAGTGTCTCACATGCTCTCCTCCCCAGTCCCCTCTGCTCGATCCCCCCTATGGCAGATGTCCTTCTTGGGCACGCCTGCTTTGTCCACCAGCCAATGATGCGCAGTCATACTGGAGATTGAAGGTGGTTTGTCTTACTGTGAGATGCTCCGCTCATCAATGCCGTTCAAGGTCACTCGCTGCCATTTGCTGGTTCGTTGCCAGAAAGGGGGGGAAAAAAAGGAATGGACTGCATTGTCACGTAAAGCCAGAGATCAGTGTACAGCTCATGCACAGATGCTCTCATGCTGCCTTGTGGATAGGCTGACGATCCACAGATGGCGCTGACCAGTAGTTTTTAGTCTCATGAACAGTGATTTGTTATTGCGGCAAATAAAAATGAGGATGAACTTTGACCTCTAGTTGATAGTCACTGTGAAATAAGCAACAAATGCTGCCCATAAAACTAGAGAAATTCAATATGTTAATAATGCGATATTCTTACGCTGCTAAAATGAATTGCATTAAGCCCCTTAGATCATTTGTTTACAATATTTCCACACTTGTTTGTTCAGAAAAATGTAGCTACTGTAAAGGGGCATGTTAGTAATTTACCTTTTATCAGTCTCAATCAGTCACCAAAGAATTAAAGCAACAGCTTCCTGTGGACGGCATAAATCATATATGTCACTGTCCTTCTTTTCTTTCTTTTTTTTTTTCCCGATCCCAGCAACCTGACTGTTTCAATTCCTTCCTGTCCTATTAGTTCGGTATCTTTTCTGGGTGGCTTCCACTTAATCAGCCATACTTACTCCACAGTGTTACCAATCCAAGTTGCATTAATTATAATAAAGGGTCAACAGGGTGAATCAACATGCATTGCACTCAAATGATGGGACACATCTCAGTCCATCTTTGTGATTTAGGGTAATAAATACAGTATGCAGTCATTCAAGCGCACAGGAACAATGCTGCAGGGCTGAAATGCAGACGGCTCAGCTGGTGCAAATGAGAGGTTAACAGAACTGCAGCCTCTGTGAAGATTCACTTCTGAATCTTATGATGATAAATTTCATGATGTCCAAAAGCAAAAGGAGTGATACCGACGGAGGAGGGGGTTGAGCATGTGGAGGGAGGTGGTTTAATATGGTGGCTATCCAGCTCCCAGGAGAACAATGTGGATGTCATTAGAGAACATGAGTGCCACCCCCCCCCCCCCCCCCCCCCGCCTCAACAAAAAAAGAATATAAATCACCCTGGTCAACAGAAAATAATATTCTAATCTTCATTATTTATTTATGTGTGCTTTTTATCTGTGAGAAGTGTGAGTGTGTGTGTGTGTGCGCGCGCACATGTATCTTTTAAGTGTATCCAGGGATGTGAATGCACATTAGCATGTCTGTTTATCAGTCAGGGGGGATGCACCGAGCAGATTGTGTATTGTCATGTTAATGCAGAGGTACAAATTAAGCCAAGACCTCTCAGGGTTTATTGAATTTAATTGCTTCCAATTACAGATATGTTATTGCTCACTGTGTTTTGTATGCTGTGTTATTGGTAATATATTTATATAATATATATTTTTGTCTAATTAACATGCACTCACACTTATTGGCTGAATTACAACTTGTGTTTTTATTGCATTTTTAATTCTTTCTTACAGATTATTACCTGCAGATGTGAGTTGCTGTAATTAGAGCAGAAAGTGAGCGTGTAGTGTTATTTAATGTGTAATTTTGGGTGGAAATCGGAAAGGAACCATGTAGAACGAGCTATGAATATGATGACTGTCACTCATCAATGTCACAGCAAGTGGAGTGTGTGAGCAGGTATTACTCATGTTGTGGGGACATGAATCTGTTTACACAGTCACATTGTGGGGACTCATAATGCCCCATAATGTAAATCATCACATTTTAGGGTTAAACTTAATGGTTACAGTTAGGGGTTAGGCTAAGTCCTGGAAATGAATTTAAGTCAATGTAATGTCCTCTGAAGAGATGGAAACATGACTGTGTGAGTGTGTGAGCGAGCCAAAAATAAATGAGTGGAAGAGCAGAGTGGAGCTGCAGCACCATCGACACTCTACACAGACAGACATCAGTTACTATCTGTCACCCTCTCTCTCCTTTAATTTGTCTTGCGCGCACACATACGCTGACTCTCTCTATTTCATCACTCTCTCACTCTTGCTTTCCTTCATGCTCTCTCTCTGTCTCCATCTCTCTGCGCCTTTTCCAAGGAGAACGGTTTCCATGGCAACGCCGTGCAGGCATTTCATGACTATGATATATGTATGTGAGAGTGCAGGTCTCCTTGTAGACTAAATTAAAGCCATGTACAGTATTTCTTTACTGATTTTTATAAAAGCACTCCGGTTGTCTGTTTGTTTTTTTTTACCGGATGTTCTCTGTGGTCCTGATGAATATCGGCTTTGCGACGAGGGATGCAGTCAGTGCGTGGCACCATTTTGTCAAGATTGTGGACACGAGTTACTCTGTTGTTTCCTCAGATCTATTAATACAAAACATTTCCAGATAAAATAGGAACGTTCTCAGACTGCTGTTGTACTATGTTAATGGTCGGGCTATAAGTTACTAGCCATTTGGTTGTTTGCATGAGCAGCAATAGCTAGCATAGCTCAGTAGACAATACTTCTACTAAAATGTTGTGTTTATATATTATTTATAAAGAAGCCAGAAAGAAATAGGAATTCCTATGATGTTTGAGTGGGAGGTGAGCTACAAGAAAAGCAGTGCAAATATTACAACATAATCTAAGCAAATCATATAAAATCTTTCAAATGTCTTGAATATTTTCAATGTTATTATATCTTTTTTGACATCTTCTTAGACTTTATTTATGGCAATGCTAAAGATTTCATGAGCTTGTCACACATCTCTGAGCTTGCCTCTGGCCCTGTGTGTGTATGTATGTACGAGTGTGTGTGCGTGTCTGTGTGTGTACATGTCATCCTACATCGATTTATGATGCCTAACAGGGTGGAGCAATTCACCCGGGCCTTTAGAGGAAGCCATCACCAGTATAGCCTTTCAGCTGAGTGGTATCTTGGGCTGTTGTCTGTGTAAAGGCAATTCTACGCTTCTAAGTTAGTGTGGAGGTGGAGAGATAAAAAACGGTGTTTATTGCCAAAGCCACAGGACTAATTTACCTTGTCACAGCAATCTCGATGAGAGGTGCAACAAGGGAACAACTGTAAAGGAATATAGGAGATTTAGTGGTCATTAAATCCAAGAAAAACTCTCTTCATGGTTGGTTCAGAATTGCAGTATAGGGGCAGTTGTTTCATCTACCTTCATACCTCATACCCAAGACTTTTCCTTTATGTACTGAAAGTGTTGAAGGATAATTCTAAATGCCTGTTTTCATTGGCAGGTAAAAACAGCTTGTGCTGCAACATAGTAAAGTATAAGAACGGAGAGATGCTTAGCTCCCCAAAAAAGACATCTGAGCTCCCCCAGAAGCGACAACATTTTGGAAAATCTGCACTATAAGTTATAGTTTTTCCATGGGAGATGAAAAGAAACAAAGTACTAATGAACAATGAATACTGATTACAGAAGTGTGAGGTGTATGATTAAAACATCATTTGGGCTGAACATGAAATCAGGCTACAGTGATGACTATCAAATAGGACTTGGAATGGAAGGAATGCATGCAAAGTGTTTTTTTGTCTGGTTCGGTTTTTAAATAAAAAAACAGTGTTACAGAAAATGTAATGCCTAGAAGGGAAGAAAGCAGGCATATTAAAACAACTCTGACCTACCTTTCTCTCTCAGGGTTCATTTCCAGGGAACTTACACTTGGTTCTGGTGTTACGTCCCACTACTTTGCTCCAGCGGACTCTGTCAGACTTCCTGTTCAAGTACAACAAGGATGAGTTCAAAATGAAGGTGCCAGTATGACTTGTACATTACATGTATATGTCTTTCCTTTTTGTATTTTATTATCTTCTTTAGGAATTAATTTTGCTTTCATTTATTATGAAACAAGGTCTCTTGTAAATTATTAAGGATTATCTTTGAATAAATAATGCGTCATATAATCAGTTGGTGGTGTGTGTTTATTTTATCAGGTGGTGATGCTTAGTTCCGTAACTGAGCTCCATGCCTATATCGACCCAGGACAATTGACCACAGAGCTGGGAGGCACGCAGGAGTACTGCCATGACAGCTGGATCTCACACCGCACTGTATGTGTATACACACACACACACACACACACACACACACACACACACACACACACACACATAAGGTTTTGAAGGAGATTTTCTCACATTTTAAAGTAAAAATCTTTTGACATAAAACTTATTTATAGAAAAAGAGATTTGACTCCAGTGTATGATTGCATAATGAATGGGCCTCTGTATATTTATATGTTCTGAATGTCTCCTCCGCAGGCAATCGAGGCATTCGCCCTCATGGTGAAGACCACGGCTCAGACCCTGCAGACGTTCGGCACTGAGCTTGCAGAGACAGAATTACCCAACGACGCCGAGGCTACCACCAACCTGCTGCACACACACACTCTGAAGAAGGATAAAATGAAGGTCAGATACGCTTCTATGTCTTTTCCATACTGGTTAACCAACCATATGTCTCATAGATATTTGGTGAAATGCTTTAAGGTGACTGCAAGCAGGAGACTTTGCAGTTTCCTTGAAAACGTTAGTGCTGAAGAAAATTATTTGTTTAATTTCCAGGAAGACCTGCAGGTGGCACTGTCTCAAGGGGGACGTCTGCTGGAGTGTATCAACGAGCCGTTACAGACAGACCCTGAATACAACATGACCTATGATGAGCAGGAAAATTTAGATACTGTACAGAGGTAGAGGAGAGAATTATTAGATACATAAATAG